GAGTGCGTGTGGCATGGGCAGCTTACACATCTGGAAAGGCACCATCAATGCTGAAAGGTATATCCAAGTTCTAGAACAACATATGCTCCCATCCAGACATCGTCTCTTTCAGGGAAGACCTTGTATTTTCCAACAAGACAATGCCAAACCACATACTGCATCAATTACAACATCATGGCTGCGTAGAAGAAGGATCCGGGTACTGAAATGGCCAGCCTGCAGTCCAGATCTTTCACCCATAGAAAACATTTGGCGCATCATAAAGAGGAAGATGCAACAAAGAAGACCTAAGACAGTTGAGCAGCTAGAAGCCTTTATTAGACAAGAATGGGACGACATTCCTATTCCTAAATTTGAGCAACTTGTCTCCTCAGTCCCCAGACGTTTGCAGACTGTTATTAAAAGAAGAGGGGATGCCACACAGTGGTAAAAATGGCCTTGTCACAACTTTTTTGAGATGTGTTGATGCCATGAAATTTAAAATCAACTTATTTTTCCCTTAAAAGTATGCATTTTCTCAGTTTAAACATTTGATATGTCATCTATGTTGTATTCTAAATATAATATTGAAATTTGAAACTTCCACATCATTGCATTCTGTTTTTATTCACAATTTGTACAGTGTCCCAACTTATATGGAATTGGGTTTGTATTATTTAATTAAAATATCTACGTTATATTTTTAATGTGCAACAATTGACGTTGGAAACAAGCTCAACATGTGCTCAACAATAATTTACATAGCCAGTTATGAAAAATGGAGGAGATCTATCAAATCGAAAAACTAAAGGAGAAAAACAGACTGCCTATCCACAAGTTTCCGAGGGGCGCTCCTGTATAAAATAAAGTGGGTGAAAATCCGGTGAGGCGGCGGAAGTAGCATTCCAATGGTATTTTGTGTGTTAGTTAGCGAAGAGGCTAGCTGTTTTTCGGAGAATTATTTTACTATTTAAAGACTTTATGAGAGATGTCGTTACGGAGCTCAGGGACAACATGTGCTGTTTGCGGTTGTATGTATAACCGGACTAAACTGTGGCTTAAACGTGATTGTTTTGAACATAAGCTGAAAACGAAATCAGAGTGATCCTGCCAGACCCCGTCTCTGATCCTGCCAACGACTGTAGTTTCGATCACCTCCCAAAAGACGACGAATCTTCCTGTGTACATTTGTTTAAATTCTTAATATTCTATAAACTCTATCAGCATGTGATTGGCTGTTCGCTACTGATGTTACACCTAAACTCAGGATCAAAGCCTGTGTTGACAGAATTCCAAATGTGCCAGTTAATGTATTCAAGTAGCACATTCATTTATAATTTTGAATAAACTCCAAAGCACATCAGTGACTAAGTGTGTATTTTTATTTTATTTTAATTGTTTGTCAGCTCGCACAACTGTCTGTCCCCATGCCTTAATGAGTATTGATTATTAATAATGTTATTATAATACTCCCAATCAACTACTGCGGAGGGTAAAGGTACTGTTATTTCACCCTTTTGAATTTCGTTGAGGTTGTGTTCCAGCCCGATCTCATGAAAGTTCGTGTCTATGGCACGAATGTCATTTCTCGTGGCATTTATACGCCCAAAACAGTTTTTGCGTGTATTTGGCACGCGATTTTCGCGTACATATGATACGCACTTTTTTTGCGTATAATACGCACGAACCTCCCACCCCCCTCCCCCCTAAACCTAACCCAGGGTTTTTTAGTGCGTACCATATACACGAAAAAAACACTTTTGGCGTATAAATGCCACGAGAAATGACACTCGTGGTATAGATACGCATCTTCATGAGACTGTGTTGTGTGTTCCCATATCGTTAGGTAGTTTGGATCGCTATAACTTGAATGACTATCAACTGTTGAATGAACGAGTGTCAAGCATGTCAAGTCGCGCTTTGTTTACTTCAAACCGGAAGTCGCGCCCACTTTTGATGCAAGGTCTCATGGGGCGTAGGAAACTTGTGGATAAATGTGCTTTTGTGCTTTTTTGGATATCCAGGGTGGCAACCAATATAGCCGGAAAATACATACATGTGACAATATTTCAGGTGGGGATCATCAACATTTGCTTCTTAGACATCCTAAAGACTGTAAAAATACAAAAGTTAGAAAACATATATCAGAAGGGTCCATAGGGAAGGAGTTCCAGTGATCCAATGTCACCATTTTTTCATTCATCGTTTTTATGCACTATACATCATCTAATCAAGACAATCCTCATATCTATCAATTCCTCATGCAAAGACGAAGAGAAAATGGGGTAGATTGTGTCTGTAGGATGTATTGTTCAGATTCTATGTAGATTTAAAGTTTTCATTTTCCGCAGCTAAAAATCAAGCACGGACACAAAAGATCATACAAAAAATCACATATGGGACAAAAATTTGCGCGGGGAACATCAAAATTCCTTTTCTAGACACCTTAAGGATTACAAAAAACTAGGTTAAAAAATATATCTTTCGGGTGCAGGTGAACCCCCCCTTCCTACCCTACTAATAGTCCTAAAATGGGTCAGGTCATACTTGGTAGGGAGAGGTTATTATGTGAGTATAGGAGACCATAAGTCTGAGTGGACATCCATGACATGTGGAGTCCCTCAAGGCTCAATTCTTGTGCCACTCCTGTTCAAACTGTATATGATCCCAATGAGCCAAATAATGAGAAAGAACCAAATCACTTACCACAGCTATGCAGACGACACACAGCTGTACTTAGTCCTAACGACTACAGCCCCATTGACTCATTGTGCCAATGCATTGATGAAGTAAACAGTTGGATGTGCCAAAACTTTCTTCAGTTAAACAGAGACAAAATTGAAGTCATTGCATTTGGAAGCAAAGATGAAGTTCACTCTAAGCATGGTTCACTCTAAGCATGGAGAGTCTGCTTTTAGCTATTATGCCAGCCGCAGCTGGAACCAGCTTCCAGAAGAGATCTGGTGTGCTCCTACAGTAGTCACATTCAAATCCAGACTCAAAACACTTCAGTTTAGCTATGCATTTACTGAATGAGCACTGTGCCACTGTCCGACTTTTATTTATTTATTTATTTTTTATTCTAAACTGTTTTAATTATTCTGATTTCTTTTGATTATTTTAATTTCTTCTATGTAAAGCACTTTGAATTACCATTGTGTATGAAATGTGCTATATAAATAAACTTGCCTTGCCTTGCAACAGGGGAAAGGAGAGGCAATTAACCTCTCCCGACAGGCAATCGAATGATTGGATAAATTTCTGGCATGTCAGAAATGTTGGTCGCTCCTTGTGATTATATCACACTGTTGAAGCAAGGAACAGATTGCCCTAAACTCAGTGGGTTTTTTTTTCCCTAACTGCACCTGTGCGAAAACAGAAGTTTAACCATTTCATCTGCAGCAAGAAAGAAAATAAAAACAGGGATATCTTTAAGATATGTAGCTCAAACTAGCAACAGATTACTGCTTACCTCCAGTCCGTGTTGCAAAATGGATTAACAATATATGGTCTTCCAAGCCACCAACACTGTGCCTCTTATTAATTTGTTAAACAATCTTTTTGAAATAAAGCTGTTTTTAATTTGCATTGATGACTAATTATTGCAGTGTTTGGACATATTATAGACTGTTCATAATTTGAATTATATGCCTATATGCCATTGTAATCAATCTAAATGTTTTAGACAGTTTTAATTGAGAAGTAAGCTTCTATGTAATCCTTTATTATCCTCACAGCACGTCGGTTTTGTGGTGATGCGCTATAAAATGATTGCTTAGCAAATTAATTATAATAGCCTATCAATTTACTAATAAAAGTCTAGGCCTTCCCTAATAATAATAATAATACAATACTACTTATGATAATTTAATACATAAATTGGAAATGCTAAATCATCTTGAGATTGATAGCTGATGCTTGTTTTGACAATATCTATGGATACATGATATCGACTATGTCACAACCCGGCAACCCTCGCGCATATTTCACATGTATAGTGTGAGCAGTCAAGTCGCAGCTTGACGTTCGGACCATATAGTGTGAGCACATAAATCCTGAGCTTTGGCTTTACATCGGATGTGATCTACTCGTTCAGTGTGAGTAGGAAATCTTACTAAAATCACACAGCCATCGCACAGATATTAGGCTGCATAGATTAGGTCAGCCGGAACCGAGCACACCTGATGTACTTGCTACATCATACAAAGAATGGCATCTACGCTAATTTTAGTCTTTCTGTTTATTCCGAGGTTAACTGTAATCAGCCGGATCCAGGCCGTATCCAGATCAGATGGTGGACCTGCATCCAAGACATGACCACAACGCATGATGTAGTCAGCTGGATCTGGGAAGGGATCCAGATCAGATGGTGGACCTGCACCTAGACACGACCACAACGCATCCCTGAAGTGTTGCCAGAGGATGTCAGACTCCCTGTGGAGGCCTCATCAACACGACAGCCTTCTGCTCTGATCCTCAACAAACTCGTCTGTAATACAGATCTTCAACCAGACAATATTCTGAATTTTCCAATCCAATCTGACATGTAATGCTGCCTGAATCATAAATCACGCACTTTTCATTCATTCCTTGGCCAGAGGAGATCTGCCCCCCTGACTGAGCCTTGTTTCTCCAAAGGTTTATTTCTCCATTCTGTCACCTGAAGGAGTTTTGGTTCCTTGCCACTGTCACCTTTTTCACCTTTGTTGCCCTTTGCTTTGGGCTTGCCTATTTGGAGACATTTAATTTAATATTTAACAATATTATTGATCTGCCTGCATTGACAACATTATAAAAAACTGAAGTGAGCTGGACGATGACATCACGGTTTGCTCCAGAGCTATATATATATATATATATATATATATATATATATATATATATATGTATATATATATTTTAACAACAGAATGAAATATCACTGAACTTACTTAAGCTGTGACGCGCTAAAAAGCGCTATATAAATAAAGGTGACTTGACAGTGTATGCCTGCCTATGCTCTTTATCTTGTAGCCACTCACATCTTGGTACTCCTGGTCCAGGTATGTGTTGTTCATGATATTTTCTGAGAAACCAATCCTTTCTCTGATTGTTCGGGCCTGCAGTAAGGAAGAGCAAAGAAGCAGCCTTTTTTAAAGTAGATAATACATTTAATGGATCTGGGGCAATCTTTTTATTTCTTTAAAGGAACACTCCGACTTTTTGGGACTTTAGCCTATTCACCTTACCCCCCAGAGTTAGATAAGTCCATACATACCTTTTTCATCTCCGTGCGTGCTATAAGTCTGTTTGACGCACCCACCGCTAGCCTAGCTTAGCACAAAGACTGGATGTGACTGGTTGCAGCTTTCATACTAATCCAAATGAGTGACAAAATAACGCAAACGTTTTCCTATTTACATGTTGTGATTTGTATAGTCACAGAATGTACAAATAACAAAGTCAAATGAGACACAGACATCTTTTAACCGTATAAAACCTGGGAACTATTCTCTGAAGGCGAAGCCTGCTACTTTGACGGAGTAATAACCGCATCACCTGAGACACGCCGTGGTGAGGAGCGGAGAGTTCGCTCAGTGTTTGGGTAACAGAGTCAGCAATTTATAAATAGTAAAAGCGTAGTTTAGAGTCATGGGTTTTCGCTCTATTGTAAATAGCTGCGACTGTAAACAGGGGAGGTAATACCATGTTTCACAGAATTCCAACTAAAAACGCTGACTGGATGAAGAAATGGCTAACTTACTCTGGATATTTATCCAAACACACCTAAATAGATTATCAAGGGACATTATGTTTGCTCTGTACATTTCAATGGACGACTATTTTGAAAAATGGAATTTGCCACACGGACCATAATGTGCTGAAGGATACGGCTATCCCATCGATAGCACAGACAGGACAAGTGGATCACCTGCGGCTGAGGTAAGTGTTCCGTTATGTTTTTAGATGACCTACTGTAACAGTGCCATTAGCCAGATCTAATGTAACGTTAGTGACACTATTATATGATTAGGGTATGAATATGTTTTTATCTTGATGCGGTGCGGACGCGCTTGGAAAAAAAACGAGCGCGTTCACCGCGTTGAACTTTCACCCTGCGCACGGCGCGCCTAGTAGCCTAAATTTAAAATAACCATGGAAATAACGAACTTGAATGTGCAAAAGGGTACGATAGGCTGTGAGTTCATTGTGCAAAAACAATTTGTGCTATTACTTTCCCCTTATTCTATCCTATAGTAATGCAATACTGTATTATATAGGCTAATGTTGAATACATTTGGTTCAGCTAATAAATTGCATTTAAAATATATTGATTCCTGTAATAATAATTATTTATTCATGTGATATTTATAAATCTGGGTGCGTTTTTGGTTGGAAATCAATGAAACATGGTACTGTATTACCTGGTCTCCCCTGTTTATTGTCACAGCTCATACAATAAAGCAAACACCATGATAAACTATGCTTTTCTATCTAACGCCAACACTGAGCGAACTCTCTGCTCCTCGTCACGGTGCGTCTCAGGTGATTGTTATCACTCTGCCCAAGTAGCAGTGCTTCGCCTTCAGAAAATATAGTATTTATATGGTTAAAAGATGTCTGTGTCTCATATGGCCTTGATATTTGCACACTCTGTGACTATACAAACCACAACATGTAAATAGGAAAACGTTTGCGTTATTTTGTCACTCATTTGGATTAGTATGAAAGCTGCAACCATTCACATCCAGTCTTTGTGCTAAGCTAGGCTAGCGGTGGGTGCGTAAAACAGACTTATAGTACGCACGGAGATGAAAAAGGTATGTATGGACTTATCTAACTCTGGGGGGTAAGGTGAATAGGCTAAAGTCCCAAAAAGTCGGAGTGTTCCAAGACCAAATTTTCTATGGAACAAGCTTTCAAAGTTACCTTTCACCATGTTTCAGTATGTTTTCAGCAGTGATTATATAGTATCATTTAGGCTAAACATAAACTGAAAATAAGCCTCACCTTCTCCTCTGCAGCTTTCTTAGTTTCAGCATCCATCCAGGCTAGATCATACAGATTGCTCACAAATACCTCTCTGATGTTAGTGATCATCTCATCCATCTGAGGAAAAAGAGAAGCACATAATGAGACACCATTTGACCACAGAAATTCCATAAACACTCTGGTTGGGGTAAGGTTGTGCTCATACAGTTTTAAAAAAAAATCCCAGGATGTCTTTCGAAAGAGTAGGGGTGTAACCCCGGCATCCTGGCCAAATTTGCCCAGTGGCCTCTGTCCATCATGGCCTCCTAATCATCCCCATCTATACCAACTGGCTTCATCACTGTCTCCTCTCCACCAGTAAGCTGGTGTGTGGTGAGCGTTCTGGCGCACTATGGGTGCCGTCGCATCATCCAGGTGGATGCTGCACACTGGTGGTGGTTGAGGAGATTCCCTTCTCTATGTAAAGCACTTTGAGTCCCGAGAAAAGCGCTATATAAATGTAATGAATTATTATTATTATTATTATTATTATTAGTGTGAAAGCAAAATGGCCTAGATCTGTGCATGACTCAAGAATTTTCAGAGATTCACATTTATGCAGATTATTTGAACGTGGTTAGGAAAATTGTAAATATCAAACTCACGGTATTACATACACTTATGTAACCCCTCACACCCGGGTCCTACTCGCCCCGCTCCGAGCGGGCCTCGAACCCGGGTCTCCGGCGTGAGAGTCGGACGCTCTAGCAAGGAGGCTAAAGACTGCAGCCTCTAGCGTCTGTCGCTAGAGCGCCTATTGAGATCGGGGAATGAGGTTTACTCGCACAGCAACTACTAGCTGGCCTCCGTTACACTCACCCCCCTAAACCTCACTCTCATCCGGGTCACGGCACCAATGTAACCTCTCACACCCAGGTCCAACTCGACCCACTCCGAGCAGGCCTTGAACCCGGGTCTCCGGCATGAGAGTCAGGCGCTCTAACAAGGAGGCTAAAGACTGCAGCCTCTAGCGTCTGTCGCTAGAGCGCCTATTGAGATCGGGGAGTGAGGTTTACTCGCACAGCAACTACTAGCTGGCCTCCGTTACACTTATGCTGAGAACTGCATTTTTCCATTATACAGGTTATTACAACAGGATCCTGCTTGGAGACAGGTGTTTTATGACCCCATTCCCTGACCCAAACTCCACACCAGTTTCAATGTAGCTCTAGGACAAGGGCACACAATGAAATGACCTTTGCCCAACTATAGGGAAGATTTCAGTGTCTGAAAAGCCTGAAGGAGGTCGTACACCGGACGAGAAGCGCCACGTTTTTAAAATTCGAACTGGCGGCGCCATTCGGCGTCTGTCCGCGGCACCCAGCTATGGCTCAGGGATCTTGTTCAAAACCCTGCCACGCCACAGAGCGCCATTTGCATAGTTTTATATTAAATTTGCATTTATTTGTCTCAAATAGTCATTAATGTACATACTGACTTCACCCTGTGCTGCAATATACATTTAGGCCTAGTTTAACATTCTTAACAGCTTGAATGGTCATATTGGAAAAAAATGTAAAACAAACATAGCCTTTTTAAATCCATTTTTCAATAGGCTACTCTATCATATTAACCATACTCTGGGTTATTATTATTATTATTAAGTACCAGTCTAAACCCATCAGTGCGAAATATTAATGCATTGGCTATGTAACGTTTGCCTCTCGTGGTTACATTCATGGTCGTGTACTGCCACCTACTGGATTTACCAGGTCACAACACACTTCAGGTAATTTCTGTAGCGTAGTAGCGGAGAGAAATGGACGAAGAAAAACTCATGAATGAAGTAGGGAAATATTCAGAAATATTTGCAACAAACCACAGATTTTTCAATGACAACATAAGGAAGTCAGCAGCTTGGAGGAAGATCGCTGATGTCGTTGGATCTTCAGATAAGATTATCTAATTATGTTAAAGGGTTAGTTCACCCAAAAATGAAAATTCTGTCAGTATTTACTCACCCTCATGTTGTTCCAAACCTCTATGTGTTTATTTGTTGTGCTGAACACAAAGGAAGATATTTGGAATAATGTTTTAATCAAACAGATCTCATTCCCCATTGACTACCATATTATGTATTTTTTCCTACTAGTCAATGGGGAATGAGATCTGTTTGATTAAAACTAGGGATGCACCGATACCGATACCAGTATCGGGTATCGGGCCGATACCAAGCTCATGTACTTGTACTCGTACTCGTAAAAATACCCCGATACCAAAGACCGATACCTCACGCGACGTAACTGACAGAACTTTCCAGTGCACACAGAGACACCAGATGCAATGTCAGCCTCAGCAGTGTGGAAATATTTTCAAAATCAATGATGATGACCCACGCATGGCAATCTGCACGATTATTTCTGCATTAATATCGAGAGTAGGGCTGCACGTTTTCAAGTTTTTCATTAACTGTTAATACTCTGTTAACCATAGTGTGAGCGCTGCAACATCGAGATACAGAGTTAATTTTTAAAACCTTTAATAACTGGTTGGACCCCATTTGAAACGAATTAATTTATAGAAATAAAACGCAGTGATTAGTACGGAGCAGTTAAAGTAGGCACATTTCCATCACCCTTCAAACTGAAATTGCCAATTGAAAATAGCCTACAGAAACAAGTCCATTTCGCAAAAACTCAGTGTCCGCAAATAAATATGTATGATCATCATCATTATTGTAACAATTTATTAGGCTGGATATGTAGTAATAAACACAATATTTTGACGCATATCCAGTGTGTGTGCTTAGTGTGGAGCGTGCACTGATGGCCCATGTGAACACTTGCAGTTTCATTGCAGTTCTTTCAGTGGAAACAACTTAATACTCTATGATTTCTGGTCGTACAGAAAATAATAATACATTATTGACAAATACATTTATTTGCGTAAACTCACAATAACAAGAAAACGTTGTGCTTTAACAGCAGGCGCGCTTCATGATCTCCGTGAACTGAAGCGAGAACTGAAACAGCCGCATTCGAATTTGTTCATTTTAAATTGGACATTTAAAGCTTTAGTAGACTAAAGCTTTAAATGTCCAATTTAAAATGAACAAATTCGAATCGAAAGCCAATATCTTCTGACTATGTAATTATGTAGCCTAGCTAATTATGTATTTCTCTCTAAAGGTGGATCCGTAGATGGAGATTTGTTTTTAGCAGAAACTGATTTAGAAAACAATAGTTCTCTTACGAGAGGTTCTCTCGTATTGCGTAAGCTAGCTTACGCTACGGGAAAGATTCATCTTTGCTGAGAAGTTGAAGCCAAAAAATTATTCCATAATTTTGTAATCATTGTCAACGCAGTCTCCTCTGAGGCAGACCATGAGCGGGCTAGCTAGCGGCTCATTGGTTCGCTCAGAGAGAATGCACGAACCTATGGGAGAGCGGCGCTGAGTCCGCGGCCAATGAGCGGACGGCGCTCGCTCACTGCGTCACAGCCCGCCAAAAGGGGCGTGGCTACAGTGTATAAAGGTCGCTCTCCCAGCTCGTTCGTTGATTCTTGTTCATTCAGCGAGCTACACGCATCCGCTGTCCTGGGAAGAAGCCGCCGTCGTTGAGAAGGCACCGTCTAGCGAGCTCCGGAGTCTGAGGAAGCCGGCCGTCTGCCACCTTCAGCCGCCCAGCAAGCTAGCGCCATCCGACGCGTATCCTTTTTACTATTCCATATTCCTAAAAGAGCCGAGCGTCTTTTTCAAGATGCCTCGAATTTCCTGCGGCTCATGCCGCTCTTCACTCGAGGAAGGAGACCGCTTCTGCGTTCTCTGTTTCGGAGTGGAACACGCAGAGCTCGCCAACGGAGGATGCGACCACTGCGAGGACCTGCCTCCGTCTTCCCTGCGGGCTCGACTACAGGCAGTCAGAACCGCTCCCGCGCCGCCTCTCACTTCGCCGCGGAAGAAGAAACGCCGCTCCCAGAGGCCGCCGGAGCCCCCTGCGGATCCATGTGGGCCGCCGCCGCCGCCCACCGACCGCTCTCCCTCTCCGCCCCTGCCGGACTTACAGTTGCCGCCGTATGGCCGCTCTGTCGCCTCCGACGACACCGCGGATGAGAAGGACTCTTGTTCGCTGCACCCTTCTGACAGCGAGGATTGGTCGTCGATCGGCTCATCGACGAGAGAGTCTGCGGGGACCCGCGCCGGCATCGAGGAGGATCTATCGCGCCTCCCTTCGCAGGCCTTCAACCGCCTGGGTCTCGAGTGGTCTCCTCCCCCCGAGCAACCACCGAACCGGCGCTCGACCCCCGCCTGCAGCCGGGCTGCACCATTCCTGCCTGAGCTTCACTACGAGCTCACTAAATCCTGGAATGCCCCTCTTTCGGCTCGTATCCGCTCCGAGGGGTCCGCTTCGCTCAGTGGACGGAGCCGCCGAGATGGGTTATACTGCCATGCTGCCCGCGCCTTTGCCGCCGCCGAACAGGCCGCCTCAGCGCTGCATTCCATCCAGGCGCTCCAGAGCGACATCTTGTGCGAGATGGCGAACAGCGGTAGGAACCCGCCCATCCTTTCGGATCTGAGAAGCGCGACGGATCTTTCCCTTCGCGCCACTAAAGCCGCCGCACAAGCCCTGGGAAAATGCATGGCCGCCCTCGTTGTCACTGAGAGACACTTGTGGCTCACGCTCACCGATATGGGAGATTCAGAACGCGCCCTGTTCCTCAACGCGCCTATTTCTCCCACCGGGCTCTTCGGATCTGCCGTCACGGGCATCGTTGACCGCTTCTCCGAGGTTCAGAAAGCGACTCAGCCATGAATCTGTTCTTGCCCCGCCGCTCTAGTTCTTCGACAGGCCGCTCTCACGAGCCTCCTGCCAGAACCCCACAGCAGCGCCCGCCTCAGCAAGCTCAGCAGCCCCAGCGTAGACAGGGCGGCCGCTCTCGCTCAGATAGCCGCCGCAGACAGCCTCCTCCCAGGGGCCTCGACCCAAGATCGCGCTGAAGCCCGATCAACAGAAGTCTGCCTAGCACAGCTGAGAAAAGGACGGCTTCTCCCGCTGCGGCCGGATCGCCGTAAAAGCCTCGCCCACTGTTAGTCCCCGTCTCACCGCTGACTGCAGTAGTGTTTACCGCCACAAACAAGC